AGATGACTGATGATGAAGAAGAGAGAATGATGATTACGTTGAGAAATGGTGAAGAAAAAAGTTTTTTTAATGATTGCGATGATGATGTGAAATTGTGAAGAGGGTGAACCAGGTCATTGTAACAGCACTTCAACAGCTGCACCATCGTTCTCCTCTTTTATGAAAAATAAATTTTTTATTCACACCAGGGTTTAACAGCCCTGCACCTGGCTTCGGCCAACGGGCATGCCGATGTATCCAGCTTGTTGCTCAGTAAGTTGACTGTCCTGCTGACTTCCAGAGATAAGGTTCGCAGTGTGTGTGTGTGTGCGTGTGTGTGTGTGTGTAGTTTTTCATCAGATGATAACAGAGGTGGATATTGTCTAAGATGACGGAGTTGTTCATTAAATTGCTTGTCTCTTACGTCGGTCTTGCGTCCTAATAAATATCAGTTCGCATTGATTTGTTCAATCCTTTCGTTAAACATCAATTTATTTTTCTATTACACACATTTGCTATTTTCTCAATAATTTAATAAATTTTGAACGAGTGTTCGTTGTTATCACTCAAAAGAAAGGTAGAAACCCACTGCACGTAGCAGCTGCGAACGGGAAGATGAACATGGTGACCTTGCTGTTGGGACAGGGAGCTGAAGTTGACGCCGATGATAATGTCAGTCGGTAAACTTTTCCTTTTCCACAAAGATTATATAATAATTTTTTAATAATTAATTTTTTTCATTTCTTTAAATTTTTTTAAATTTATTTAAAATTAAATTTATTTAAATTTATTTAAAATCTGTAGAACGGCTGGAGCCCTCTGCACCACGCAAGCAGTGCGGGTCATTTGGATGTGGTCCAGTTGCTGGTGGGCAGTGGCGCCAACATCAAGCTCATCACCATGGACGGCAAGCCAGCTGCTAGCCTGGCAGCTGCAACCGGTCAGACCAGGGTGCTTAGCTACCTATTCAAGCAGGGCGTCGATACGAGGATGTTGCTTGAAGATAGCAAGGTCAACTGGGCGTCTGTCCACTTCTGTCCGGGACGTTTCTAAAATGATTTTGTTGTTTTCTACTGTTTTTGATAAAATGCCATGCTGCAAAATGTGATATTTTATTGAAAGATTGAAATATTTTTTCCAACTTTTTCTTAATTAATTAAATTAAATTAATTAATTAAATAAGTAATATAAATTGGAAACTGGCCCTAAAACACTCACAATTTACAAGTGAATTAGTTGGGATCTATTGTGGTATTATATAAATTTCAATTTGACAACCATCTAAAAAAAATTCATCGTTAAAAAATTAAATTAACACTATTTAAAAAATACGACGAAATCTTAAATACATCAACAGTTTGCATTCGACCTCATGGAGATCGGCAAGTTGAATCGCCAGAAGCCAGTGGCGGAATTCATCCTGGCTTCCGATAGCCCCGCTGAAACATCAGCCAAATTGTCGCGAGCTTTCAGACAACTATCTCTGCGGGAAAAAGAGAGAGCCAAAGATTTGGAAGAAGCTGGAGATTACGCTGAAGAACTAGCCCTGGACCTGACTTCAATCGCGTGTGGAGTGGTGCCGACTGGTTCATTGTTGAACGCTGTTGACAAAAAGGATGTTAGTTGTCAATTATATTTTCAATGGTTTATCTGTTTATATTTCGATAAATTCATTTTATTATAAAAATAACAATCACTATAACGCATGACGGATAATCTGTAGGAATTGAAATATAGTAAGTTGTTGTCGGATGTTGACTGGTATTTTTATTAATTTTAGGTGTGGTAGTATGTTGACTTTTTATTAACATTATCAAATTTTATCGTTGTTTGTATATTATGTTTCTTAATCAATATTTTTTAAAATTTCGAATCAATTTTTGGTATTCGAGACATAATTACAAATATTTATAGTCCGTTATATGGCTATAATATTAACAATAGTTCCATGTAAAATTTTCAATTTGTCACTGATCTTATTGTAATCATGGTACAGCAGCCAGACGTACTAAAACAACTCATTTGCAGGTGACATTCATAGATCTGCTGATCGAGTGCGAGCAGAAGGAGGTGATAGCCCACCCAACGATTCAGATGTACCTCTCCGAAATTTGGACCGGTCAGCTGAGCAAGTGGTCAGACTGGAAGCTGTTCCTCCTCTTCTTTCTTATGCTGTCTGCACCTCCAGTTTGGATCTGCATCAGCCTTCCCTTGAAATTCAGCGTGAATCGAACGCCGGTCGTGAAATTCATGTCCCATTTGGTGTCACACCTGTACCTCTTGGTGATCTACATAGTTTGCGTTTTGTACCCATCTCGCTACGTCTGGGATGCTATATACATGTTCCCAAACTGGTACGAGTGGCTGCTGCTTATCTGGCTGTCGGGTATGCTGGTGGCTCAGTTGACCAGCAATGAGAACGTATCCGGTCTGGGTTGGTTGAGGATTATTTTGATTGGAGTTAGTGCCATAGCGGTCATAATCCACGTTATCAGTTACTTAATTCCCGACGAGTCCGACAAGTGCATCTTGTTATACGTGAGGAATCAAATGTTCGCTCTCTCCATGATCCTGGCTTTCATCTTGATGATGGAGTTTTTATCTTTCCATCACCTGTTTGGTCCGTGGGCGATAATAATAAGAGAGCTGATGAAAGATCTTCTGAGGTTCGTCGTCGTTCTTGCCATCTTCCTGCTGGGATTCACCTTCCAGATATCTGCCTGTTTCTTGCCCGTCTACTCTGACAACTACCGTAACTGGATTGCCAACAACACGAACGCAGACATTGATACGTACACTTTAAAATCGCCTAAACTTATGTTCGAGACATTATTCTTTGCTTTGTTCGGACTGATTGAGATGAGCGAATGGAAGGAAGGGCAGCAGTATCTGCCGTGGTGGAGCGTGTACCTAGTTAAAGGCATCATCGGCATCTACATGCTGATAACTTTCATAACGCTGGTCAACCTTCTCATCGCCATGATGTCCGACACGTATGCCGACATCCAGGCGCAATCAGACGTCGAGTGGAAGTATGGGAGAGCCAAACTCTTCCGAAACATGAACAAGACGTCTTCCTCTCCTTCCCCCATCATCCTCATCACGAAACTCATCACCTACATCAGGGTTCTGATAAAGTTTGGGAGTAAGAAAAATATTTTTATTTCTCTTCATAATCATTTTAACAGGCATTATTAAGAATGCAACGAAGTCTTACTGTATTTAAAAATTATTGACGATAAAGTTTCTGTTAAACATTATCGTTTTTTGTTATCTTACCTTAAATCCACTGAAACAGGAGCTGGATGCGTGTACAACACTCAACCGCTTGTCAACGAGATAGAAGGTTTGAACTTCAGTGAGCAGGACCTCATAAACAGTAGACTGTCCTCAGGAAGCTCTGGTGGCTGCCGACGGTGCTGCATGTCTTTGTGCTGCTGCTGCTGTAGGAAGAGTAGGAGAAAGGAGTCAAACGCTGGTTTGTAATAATAATAATATTAATAATATTAATAATAATAATGGTAATAATAATAATATAAATAATAATAACAATAATAATAATAATTTGAAATTCAATTCAGTTGAAGATTTAGTGCTGCTGAGTCCCGCCATCACCATGGACGAATCCCTAGAGAACGTCGTTGATTGGTCGGTCGTTTGCCGGAAGTACATATCGATACACAAGAAGACCAAGAATAAGGATGATGATAGCGATGATGATAGTAGTGGTGATGACGATAATGATGATGACGGTGGTAATGGTCGTAGTGGTAAAAGTTGTGATTAGAATGATTGTTTTATGATGACAATGATGATGATGATGATGGTGGCGATGATTATGATGACGACGATGGTAATGATGATGATGAAAATAATGATGCTGGTGATGATGATGTTGACGGCAAAGATGGCAATGATGATGATAAAAATGATGATGATAAAAATGATGATGATGGTGGTGATGATTAGAATAATTGTTAACTGAAATGGATAATGGTCATCGTCGGCATGATGATGTTGAAGACAAAAACAACAACATGACGTTAATATTGCCAATAAATGTCTATTTATTTTTTTGTTTTCTCTATCTTTCTTTTCTATCTTATTCCCTCCTCTCTCTTTCTTTTTTTCTCTTTTTCTCTCCCTCTTTCTCTCTCTCTCTCTCTCTCTCTCTCTCTCGCTCGCTCGCTCTACAGTCTATATGTACGTATCTCTGTCTTTGTCTTCCTCTTTCATTCCACTAATCACTAATTGTATATTAATAATTTTACTGATTTATTAAATCGCTGGATGTATTTATTTATCTATTTATCCATTTATTTATTTATTCATTCATTTGATTAATGTTTGAAACTCACAAATAGCCCTGATACACGTGCACATATCAGCCACGTATTAACATCATCAACTTGAACTCTCCAACGCATTGAAAATATTCCAATTTTGATAACTTCACTGATATTTTTGTACGCAACTTCTGCCGTTTAGAAAAAAAAAACTTTATCGCATCAGAATGGCGCATTGGGACAACTTTGTTTAAATTTTGACAGGGTCTAAGAAACCATTCCGGCCCTATCCCTCCTTGATTCGCTAGATAAAAGGGCGAATTAACAAAATTGTGATTTCAATTCGAAACCAATTCTGTATAGTATCCTGATTTTGGCTTCTACTTCAGATCAGTATTCACGGGATGTTGGTGATTTTAAAAGCGAAAACAAGCAATAATCATGATAAAATTAATAATAAGAATGATAAGAACGATTTTAGTAGCATATAAATAGAATAGAAACATTACTGCTGTTACAAGATCCAAGCCGTCAAAACGACAGAAGAAACATGTAGCAGGTTAAAACTGTAGGAAATAATATTTCCTAATTTTTTGTCATAAGCAAATTATAGTTTAATCAATAAACACACACACATACACGTGCACACGTACACAGTCACAACACACCAGACACGCACACATTAGTGCACAAACATACATTTTTTAGTCGATCATATAAGTTTGCTTTGTCAAATCAGCAAATTTCAATTTTCACGGAATCAAATATGCTGTTTTTACTAAGATCAAGAGGTATGTAGTTGATGTCGATAAAGTCAAAGTCATGTCTTCCAGGATCTGTATGGCTTATTGGCTTATGTGTGGTGGATGTTATTTTGTTCTCAGTTAGTAGCTATTTATTAATGAATATTTTTATGCAAACGAACTGTTTGGAAATTTTTATAAAAAGCGAGCCTGATTTTGTGTCAATTAGATATCACATAGATATGTGCAATTGTGTTAACATAAAATGAAGGAGAGAGAGAAAAATTTCCACATTCAGGTCTAACCTGGTTATTGTAAGAAAGGTTAACTTCTTGAATGTAGGTGTCATTGAAATGACCTTTGTACACCTCTAAATAATATTTCTCCACGTTTTGTATATTGATGCTGAAACTAACAAACTTAGCCCTACCTGCAGTGTTTTTGAAATGTACTACTTTAGTATAAATAAGACCTGAAGGGCAAAAGTAAGTAGCCGCTCCAGATTCTGGTGGTACAATGATGGAGTTTTTGGCTATGGTTGACGGGTCGTCGGTAGATATGTTGTATTGGGAGGTTGCATCTCGCACGCAATCTGTAAATAAAAGAGCATGCAAGTAACTCAATAAATGAAGTCATTGTTCAAAAAATGGAAATTTCAATAAGACTTGGAATGTTCTGAAAATATAATCATACCGGTGGTGGTAGGAAGGCTGGATGTTGTTGAAGTTGTCAAAATAGTTGTTGAAGCTGGAAAAATAATTGTAAAAAATTAAAATTTAATTAAGTCGATCGGGTTCGGAATTTTCCGAGAAGTCAGACAGTTTTTAACCGACTCCTGAACATGCTGATTATTAAAAAAGTTGTGTATATTCAAAAAATAATCTTTCAAGATAAATGTGTCTAGCAGCCATGTATATATATATATATATATATATATATATATATATATATATATATATATCTTTACAATATTCTATAAATTCTATCGAATATATTTATCTATACATATATATCCATTGTAGCAGCACGTAATCAACTTCAATGTTGATAATAAATGCCATCAAACGCGCCGTGCAACAATTTTTATTTTACGTAGATGGTATCAGTCAGTCAGTCGGTCGGTCGGTCTGTTGGTAAGTCAATCAATCAATCAATTAATCATTCAATTAATATGTTTCTAAAGCGCTATTTTTCCAATCTTACAGGGCTCCCTAATGACTTTTACATATAGATGTGTCATGAGATCCGTTCTGAACTTTGTATGTGATAGAGAAGAAATTAGCAAAGGAGGTAGAGAGTTCCAGAAAAAAAGCCAAAAGAAGCAAAAGTAGATTTAGTGTAAGATGAAAGGAGAACGAGAAGATAATCGTAAATCGGGGCGTTTAAGTTCAATTTATATATCTGTTGAGTACCTAGAAAATAAAATAGACTGAGATTTGTACATTAATGTGCAAAGTTTGAAAATCATTCTATATTTTATAGGTAGCCAGTACAAAATAATCAATCAATCAATGCGATCGATCAATCAATCAACCTATCAATTTGCTTGTAAAGCGCTATTTCCTCGGTGTCTAACGACGCTCCTCGGAGATTTTTAAAATTAGATGGGTCTTGAGATCCGCTCTGAATTTTTCAAGTAGTTAGAAAAAGAGGTTGAGGGTTCCAGAGAAAAGAGCCAAAAAACGCAAACTCAAATTTAGCATAAAAGTGTTCAACACGAGTTAAGAAGAAGTGAGAACAAGAAGACGATCGTAAACCGAGGCGTTTAGGTTTAATTAATATATGTTATAAGTACTTAGGAAATAATTTAGATTGAGAATTGTTCATTAAAGTGCAGATTTTACAAGTTATTTTATATTTTAATGATAGCCAGTGCAAGAAAACAAAATATGGAGATATATGAGAAAAGATAGGACCACGAGCAACTAGACAAACAGCAGAGTTAAAAGCTTTATTTAAAGGTAGAGTGTAGAATCAGAAAGACCATAGTAAAATAAGTTACAGTAATCAATCTTAGATAAAACTAAAGAAGTAACAAGAAGGAGAAGAGTAGGATCGTCAAGAAAAAGCAAAAGTTTTTTATGCTGCATGGATGGAAGTAAGAACTTCTAGCAATACTATTAATCTGAGATGAAAGAGACATACTAGAATCAAAGATAAAGCCAAAGACTACGAATTTTATGAAAAAGATTGATGGTTTTAGAATCAGGTAATAGCTGTTGAAGCTGTTGAGGTCGTCATTACAAAAAAATTGTATTCAATAAATCATAAATAATAAATTTTTAGATGAATATTTTTCAAACACAACATACCAGCAGTTGATGTTGCAGTTGTTGAAGTACTCATTGGTGTTGTCGTTGAATAAATTAGTATTGTTGTTGCAGTTGTTATGGTAGCTGATGCTTTTTTTGAAATAAAAGTAGGTTAAGTTTTTATTGTTTGTGTAACAAAATTTTATTGAAAATTTGAAAAAAAGTAAACTTTTGATTGACAAACCATCAAAAGGTTCAACAAAACCAAATCTAGTTGTATGATTAAGTGAAAATTACATGAGCAATTGTGAAACATTAGAACAATTCTGGCAAATACATTTGCAAACAATCCGATGAAATGAATATTTTTCTAAGCAGGAACAAAGATGAAAATGAAATCCAACAATCACAACCGCAAAATGTTGCCATGCTATCAGCAAATTCATACACGAACGATCCTCTTTCCCAGTTCTCTCTCTTCTTTCTTCTGTTCGGCAGCAGCAGCAACAACATAATCATCACAGAAAGAAAAAATCCAGAGCATGGTTAATCGTCCTCACACTCGATTCATCCTAGAAAGCACTCGAACTTCGCATAAAAGGGCAGAACAAGATTTGAACCAACAACCACAACCAGAGCGTCAACCGCATTACCAGCAGCAACAACACTATTAACATCATGATAAACGCCAGCCACATCAGGACCATCAGCCACATTATCAGCGACAATAGCAGCGTCATCACGAGAAACAAGATCAACGTCAGCCATATTGGTACCAAAAACCACATCTTCCAAGATGAGCAGAAAAATCAAATTTAACACAAGGAACTATTATTTTTCTAACCAAAATTTTCAAATACATTTGATTTTGCTTAAGATGCTGTAGTTGCACGATTATAACCAAAAAGTTGAAGTTCTGTTCAAAAAGATAACGCTCGACCTTATAATTTTGTTCAAAAATCAATAAAAAGAAATTGAATTGAAAACATTTCAACTTATCAAGCCATCTATTGTAAGAAAATTACCAACCTGTCAAGGTCACAGCAAATAGGATGGTCAGAAAAACTGCTCCAGTCGAGCAACTGCCTAGAATGACCCATGGTAAAGTTTTCCCGCCTGCGTTTTCGTTGTTGACATCACTGTCTACATCTTCAGTCGGATTATTATTTTCATCTGCCTGCATAATGTTATCATAACTTTTATAATAATTTCTTAGTAATAATAATATTAATATTATTTTTTTCTATCATTGTTGTTGTTGTTGCTAGTGCTACTACAGTCATTGTTCGCCTAAGAGTATAGTAATAGTTTGGAGAATAAGGGCTGCTAACATCGCTATTGTTGTCGTCGTCGCTTCACGGGTTATTAGGCGTTTACTAAACCACTTCGAAAATAAAATTTTCTAAATAAATCACATATAATTAATTATTTCATTAATTAATCCATTCAATCATTAGATGATTCATTTATTAGTTCATTCATTCATTCATTATCTCATTCATTCAATAGTGGATTAATTCATTAAATTAATTAAAAAATTTAATCCAAGCTTTTTAAATCCTAAAACGTTGTAAATATGTTGCCTAATTTTGCCGTTACATCACCTTAAGGTCTGTCTCTAAGTAGTGCCAAATTTAAATACAAATATACGTGCACAAACAAACAATCAAACAAACAAGCAAGCTAACACATAAACAAACAAACAAGCAAACAAACAGACAAACAAGCAAACAAACAAACACCGCATGCTGGGTTTAGAATATATTCATTTATTCATTCATTTACTCAGTCATTCATTCATTTTTCAATTCATTCCTTCGATCGTTTGTTCGTTCGTTCGTTAGTTCACTCATTCAGCCACTCATTTTTTTATTCATTTATTCGTGAAATATATATTTTACATATAAAAGAGAAAGTGAATGAATAATAATAACCAATATAATATTAACAATAAGAAAACCTGTCTTCAATCTCACGCAGGACTGACTTCCTAGTTTTTGCCGTTGTTGATATTGTTGTTGTTGATGATGTTTGTTGTTGTTGTTGATATTGTTGTTGTTGTTGATGATGTTTGTTGTTGTTGTTGATATTGTTGTTGTTGTTGATGATGTTTGTTGTTGTTGTTGATATTGTTGTTGTTGTTGATGATGTTTGTTGTTGTTGTTGATATTGTTGTTGTTGTTGATGATGTTTGTTGTTGTTGATGATGATATATTTGAGCATCTGGGCACAAATACAACATATCAATTTGAACACCGAAGATGGTATAGGAATACCGAAAAAATCTTTTCTGTTCTGTAAGTTTTGAACTAAAAAAACTTGAAAATTATTACGATCAACCGTTAGAAAAATCGAAAAGTTAAGTTTGCTTGCTTGTTTTTTTTTGCAGTTTAACGACGTTTTAGCACAAAGAGGCTATCTTTAAGCCCTGGGGTCATCACAGTACTGGTTTTGTGATCAAATGTATTTGGAGCTTTTCAACTGTTTAAATCTTCTTTAACATATCGATCTCTTTCAGAAACGAGACCAAAATTCCAGATTCTTAATTTGAAACATCGACTCCACAAACAATGGCACTCCAAGTTTATTTCTAATCTCACTGTATCTCCTGCACTCTATTGAAACGTTAAATTCGAAGCATTTTCTTATTTCTAGTGTTGTTAATTCGCATTCTTTCGGTCTATCCCTATATTCTAGTTTTCCAACTCCTTCGATCATCTCTGTTGCTCTACGCTGTGCCCGTTCAAGAAAATGTGAAATTCATTTTTGTTACATCGTCATGAAAATGGAAGCGGCAACTCACAAGTGACAAAAGATTTAACAGCCACTATTTCAATTTTTTGTTTAAAGTCACCCAAAATAATTAATCTTTGGGTTTTCTGTTTCAGTGAAATATCAGTTTTGCCCCGATGTTTCAGATGCAGTTTTTATATTGTTTAATTGAAAAAGTAGATCAAATTATTTTTGACAATTTATTTTTTTTTAAACAAACTTTTATAAAATTTCATAACACAAGCAACTAAAACCTCATCAACTTTTGTAGCAACATCAAATTTTTTAACAACGGAAACAACAACAACAATTACTTTGACGACAGCAATGGAAACAACAACTGGTATTCATATTTGAAAAACATTTTTCTGAATATCTAAATTTTTATGATTAATTTTACTTTTTACAACCTCAACAGCTACAACTACTGCAACGGCTACGACAACTACTACAACGGCTGCAACAGCTGAAAAAACTTCCACAACAACAATTACTTTCACATCAACTGTTGCAACAACAACGACTGGTATATCGTATTTGAAGAATTTTTTTCTTTAATATAAACTTTGTAACAAATAACAACCAATGATTCAACAACAAAAAGTATGAATTGCATACGTGTGTGTGCCTGTTTCTTGTTATTACAACAATCTTATATATCTTCTATAATCTATATGCTTTTATTGCTTTTCTAATTATTCATAGTGTTGTATAAATCGAAAACTCCACCCCAGCTTGCCCAAGTGACGCCACATCTGAATATTCAGCGATAGAAGCGCAACCAAGTGCGGTCATAACAAATGGACGTGTCGACAGATTACGTGTATGGATGACTTCGTGTAACAGCGAAACCACCTATTCTTCTTTTTTTACAATAAAAAATGTAACAGCTATTCAGAAATTAGCTAGATTCAGCGTTAGCAAGGAAAACGTGGCTAACCTATGTTTCTCTATATTTGTGAATGGTAGTAGGACGACTTACGAGGTAGTACCTCGTTGTAATAATCAGGTTTGGCAAAGATGAAAATTATTTACACTAATCTTTGTTTTGATGTAATTTTTAAAGAAACGAAATCATTTTATATTGTCCGATAATCAAAACAGTAATGCTTTCTCCCCTTCGTGGAGTCGACCATCTAATAAATTTAAAAAGCACGTAAAACCTGATCATGGCCTACAATTAGTGTAAAATTAATTTTCAATTGAACAGAGCATACGGGAAGATATAATCAGTTCTGGGAACTACACGTTTGACGGGGTTGGTATGGCGTTCAACCCTACCGATTAGCTGGAGAGCACTATGTTTGATCTCATTAAAATCGAAGTTTTATGCTATCTACGGGCTCGAAGGTTTAGCATCAGTTTTTAAATCGGGACAATGTTAACGAATAAATTAACTCACTTTTTGTTGAACAAAAAAACAATATTGTGACTGTCAACTTAGTTTAGAGTAGAGCTAGATCAAGTTCATAACAAGCTTTTATTTTGACCTTCGAATGGACAAATTTTCTAGCACAATATAACGTTTACAAATTAATTATAATTATTATAGATACCAATTATTTATACTTGTTATATAATAATATTACGCAATGTAATATTTCTTTTCTCGTATATCTACATATCTTGTTCTTTTGCAATTGCTACCTATAAAATAATTTTAAAATTTGCACATTTATGTATAAGTCTCAATCTAAATTATTTCCTAAGTACTTATCAGATTTATTAATTAAACCTAAACGCCTCGGTTTACGATCGTCTTATTGTTCTCACTCCCTTTTAACTCGTGTTAAACACTCTTTTACTAAATCTGCATTTGCTTTTTCTGGCTCTTTTCTCTGGAACTCGTTACCCCATTTTCTAACTACTTTTCCATCACTTACGAAGTTCAGAACGGATCTCAAAACCCATCTGTTTGTAAAATTCACTCAGGAGCGCTGTTGGAACATCGCGGAAATATCGCTTTATAAACTAACTGATTGATTGAATAATATTATTATGGCGTTACGTATTAACCTTTAGCCTATAATTTTATTAAACTAGGAGAAGAAATTCATTACGTAATCGTTGGTGGAAATGACGTCATTTTAACGGTAGTTATTTAACTGGATAATGGTAACAAGTAACAGATTTCAGACTCCCGAAAAGTATGAAGCACAAATTTGTAGACAGGTGAGATGAGTTGATCATTGCATTACAGGTAAGCCAGGGCTCTGAGAGTAATTTAATTGTGGGTAGGTGACTGACTGCTACTCTCGCTAGAGAGAACACTATCTGTTTGTGACGTGTTTGTTTTTGTTTCACACCACAAACATTCCTGTAACAAACTCCATCAAACACGCAAAAATAAGCCCTAAAACATCAAACTCCACAGAAATTAGTAAAATATTACTAACGAATTGGTTTTAATAATTTTTCCGTAGTGATTTTCTTATGATTAAAATTAAATATAAACGAAAGCCAAAATCAATCAGCTGATAGTTGGTTTAGTTAAATAATCACAAATAAGCGAGGGTTCATTGAAAAATAATTGGTTGCATGTAAAGAAAGCATTGAATCAAACAAATTTTAAATGGTTTTGTATGTTAAATACGTTACAATTTTTCATCAAGAAAATCATTTAATTGAAAACAATCTTAGGAAAACAGAATTAAACTTCAAATAAATCATTTACAGATCGATTCAATTAATTAATTAATTACGTTTTAATTAATTGAAACAACGAATCAAAATAGATATGACTGGCCAGTAAGTAGAAATAATGATAAGATGTGATTTTGAGAAAGAGATAACATCTGTTTCGATTATTACCGACATTAGTGATAATACTGAAAACCAGCTACTACTAACTACAAACACACCAACAACAGCCATCACTATGTATTCCAATCAAACAACCAATCATATTCAACCCCTTTACTATGTCCTAGGCGCCTAAACATCTTCCTAATTTCCTCATAATCAGGTCGCTGTAAGTACCCAAGTCTACGAACGTATTCGAAATATACAACAAACTCTTGAGGTATTCTATCACAGAGGACTTCTAGTGGCGTTTCCATCTTTCGCTTGCCTATCTGTGACAATCGACAATCTGTTAAATCCACTTTTAAACCTTGCCAAGGTAAACGACCTTTTATGAGATAAATCCATACAAATCCTAAGGACTCCATGTCATCTCTGTAGGAAGGGGGATGGCCAAGATGGTTGAAGATGCTGGCGAATCGAGGTGTTCCTGCTATCTTGCCTGTAGATGCAACTTGCAATGTGGGTCTTCTCGATCCAAAAGTGAACTGAGGCTGTGCTGAAACAACTTGAGCATGACCAAAGTCAAATATTGAGATTTTTTCTCTGTCACCAGGTTTGTTGATGTTGGAAGATATGGCAAAATTATTTGGACTGATATCTCGATGTATGCAATTACGAGAGTGAATGTTCTCTAGGCATGTCAGAGTCTCATCAACAATCATCAACATTGTTTTTTGTGAAAATTCCTGATTGCATTCCACCCATGTCTGGTACAGAGATGTTCCCAACAGATCCATAATCATAGCTGCATACAGATCATTAGGACCATAGTATCCAAACCAGTACAAAACAGGTACTCTATCTACATCTGAACCCATTTTTCTGTAAACCTTCCCTTCATTCATCAGAGTTGGTTGTATCCACGTTTTTTGGGGCTCCAATTTAACAGCAACTTTGAGTTTATTGTGAACCATCTCTCCTAAATAAACCTCTCCAAATGAACCACCTGCAATTCTTTCTAACAACTTGGCCTTGCTGTGTATTTCCCCAACAAATATCTCTTCTTGGTTATCTAATTTACCTTTTAATTTGGCCTTTTCTAACCTCGGATCAGCATGAGGCGCCGGACTCTGATTGTATTCGTGTATAGATGTTCCAGTGTAGTTGCTGTCGCCAGAAATCCCCTCTGTTGGCACCGTGAGGGTCGCCATCTTTCGACGAGGTTATGAAATTTTTAATATATGAATTTTGATGAAGTTTAATTTCAAGAATAAAAATTAAAAATCCATGTAGTCCATAATTATTAATTAGTAAAATTATTACGTCATGACAACCCCATTTATCAACGGTATTGTATTTAACGAAGTTTAATTATAAAAAATAATTAAAACTTAAAGTTAAAAATCTAATCTTTTCTATAGTTTTTAATGAAAAAAAATCGCCACACGAAAGTTGAAAGACATCATTTAATAAATGACAAACAAAGTTGGTGAAGTTGGTTTCGACATTTCCACCTCCAAGGGTCATTAAGAATTATTTTACAATTAAATGCCATTTAAAATCTTTCTCAAAATGTTTAAAAATATCAATTAAAACTTAGTTATTAAAAAAATTACCAGTCAAAGCACTAAAAATCTTTACATCCTTAATAAAACAAAATCAAAACACTATTTATTAACATTAACTTTTTAACTTTATAAAATATTGTAAGTTTACTTTTAAACTCATTTCTGTAGGTTTAAATTAAAATTAAATAAATTTAAATCGTAAAAAAGAAAATTAATTGTTCAAAAAATCTTTTTTTTAGTTTTTAAAATTTAATTTAAAAATATTTAAAATTAATTGAAATTTTAAAGCTTGACGATGAGACTTGCACCCCCTCAAGTTACTGGAATTTCTCCAAAGGAGGGCCCTCCTGGAACGAGGGTCACAATTAGGGGGGAGAATTTAGGAGTGGATGCCAAAGACTTGATAGGTTGTTGCCAACATTTAATACATTTCATTTAATTTTTTTAAATTTAATTTTTTTACTTTAATTTTTTTCAAATTTATTTAAAAAATTTTTTATTTGATATTTTATTAATTAATTTAAATTTTAATTAAATTAAATTGTTAATTCATAAATACTTTATTTTATTTTTTAGATTTATTAACTTTATTTTTATAATAAATGAAAAAATAAATAATAAATAAATGATAAAAAAATAACTATTCACTCAATTTATATTAATTTAAAAAATTATTTATTAGTCTTTCTTGATTAATATTTATTATTCATTTTTTTATTTAATTTATTATTTCGTTTTTAATTTTTTTCATTTTAGTCTTATATTTCCTCAAACCATAGGCCTAAAAATTTGTGATGTCGACTGCTTACTGTCAGCTGTGTGGAAGTCCTCGAAGCAAATCATTGCTAGGACAGGTCTTGCAGTTTAATTTATAATTTATTTTTTGCATCAAGAAAGGATTAATAATGGTATAAAGTATTCATACTCAATCGTTTGTACAATTATTTAGGTCAGGCAAAGGTCAGAGGTGACATCATAGTGACAACTAGGTCGGGTGGTGTTGGCTCATCCACTGTTCAGTTCAGGGGATTCAAAATTCAAATTGGTGAAGTTTCAGTAGTTTCTTCTGTCTTTGTATATTTCTTAATTGATGCTTTCAATTAGTTAGCTGATAAATTTATGAATTAGTTGATTGTTTAGTTGGTTGGTTGGCTGATGTTGATTAGCTTATGTTGATTGGCTGGCTGATTGGTTGGTTAATTTTGTCTGGCTGGTTGATTAGTCAATTTTTTTATGAATGTATGGCTTGCATAATCAACTAGTTAGTTGATCAGTTGATTGATATTTAAATAAATTATGCTAATCATTTAGCTAATTGATCAATTGGTTAATTTTCATTGAATAAATTATGTTAATTAAACAGGCCCACTGCAGGACTCGGCAATCTGGGTGGACGAGAGCCAGCTGTACACGACACTGGCCCAAAGGGATCGCACCGCTGCCTCCATCAATCAGCAGCTAGGCATTGGGGAGGATGATGACCCTCTGGGCATATGTGATGAATCTAATGAGTATGTGTAGTATCTATTATAGATTATATTCAAGTATTTTTTAATTATTATATTTAATTGTTATTATTGATGCTTCTCTGTCTTTTTGTGGTGTGTGTCTGTTTGTGTGTATTGTGCGTGCGTGTGTGAGTTTGTGTGTTTGTTGTTTTTCAGCTTATTTATTTATCACAGCTAATGCAATAATTAAATTCTTCTAATTTATCTCCAATTAGAAATATTTAAATATTTATTATGGGTATATACATTTATGTATTTATTTATTTGTGTATTTATTTATTATTCTATTCATTCATTCATTCATTCATTTATTCATTCATTCATTCATTCCTTTATTTGTCAACATTTTCCCATTCCATTGTTTGTTAAATCGTTCGTTTATTTGTTCACCCATTCGTTCATTAATTTCTCTACTTATTTTTTTAGTAGTGCTAAGAAGATATCAGAGGAAGAATTGCAAGAATTAATACCAGAAGGTTCTCCTCATTCATTCCACCATACTCTCCTTCGTTCATTCACTCATGCACTCTTCCACTTACTCATTCATTCACTCATTTAATTGTTTGTTCAATTATTCACTCCTTTGTTCACTCATTTAATCAACCCTGCATTTAATCATTCTTTCATCCATTCACTTAAATGCTTTTCACTTCATCATTCATTCACTCATGCACTCGTTCGTTCATACATTTATCCGCTCATTCATTAATTTTTTCTCTTATTCATCTACTTATTCACTCACTCACTCACTCATATTCAGGCTCAGGCAACACAAGTCTTGAAAATTTTGATCCTGCCTGGTTTCTGCTAGAAAATCACCAAAGGACAAGGTCAGTTCGATTCTCAAATGATCTTGTTCATTTTTATACTTTCAGTCGTTCATTCATTCATTCGTTCATTAGTTCATTCATTCATTTATTCATTCATTTGTTTGTTAGTTTCGGTACTTTCAATCAATCCCTGGAGTTCTTGTGTTCATTTATTTGCGCAATTATTTCATTCATTCGTTTATTTTGTGATACTTTCAATTATTCATTCATTTTTACATTCGTGCATTCATTTTTTCTTACACGCATATTTAATGTATCAACTCATGAATATTCAAATGTTGACCTAGTTTCGATGACCTGAAAAGTGGATTGGCGCATCTAAAGCACAAGATGGTTCAGAGAGATGATGGTCCGTTCTCATTCGCTAAGAACAATCTGACCACGTTCCTCAACTGTTTCGATACTCTAACTGGTTGGTTGGTTGATTGATTGGTCGGTCGGTTGGCCGGTTGGTTGGTTGGTTGACTGATTGGTTAATTGGTTAATTCGCTGGATGTTTAGTTGGCTGATTGGTTGATTGGATGATTGGCTAGTTGGCTGGCTGGTTGGTTAGTAGGCCAGCCAACCAATCAATTAGTCAAGCAATCGATCAACCAACCAACTAAACGATCAATCAATAAGTAAATCAATCAATCATTTGAAGAAATGAACAAGATGATGATTGAGGATGAAAAGACCAGCAAGCTATCCTGCACAGACAAACTTGAAGACATTGTCAAGGGTCCGTTGTTGCTAATGTCGTTTGTCTGTCTTTGTTTATATGTCTGTCTATCTGTCTGAGTGTATGTCTCTTTGTCTGTCTATTGTTTGTTGCTATTGCTGCTAATTTTTATCACGCCACCAATTACCTAGGTCATAAATGCACACAATCACACATGCAATCACACACACACACACACACAACATACATTTACACTACACACACACACACACACGTGCAGACGCACACACACGCACAAACCTAACAGAAACGAAGAAGACGGCTGAGGGCATATTTGAAGAGGTCCTGGGTAGGAAGGAGAAGGCAGACGCCACACGGAACGCTCTGGCCGTCCTCTTGAGATTCAAATTGCTCTTCTATCTACCGTGCACCATCGATAAGAATATTGCTAAGGTCAGTGCGCACATGGTGGTGTGACGTAGTGCCAGTATTTTGGCGTGGCTATCATCCACTCACTATCGTCATCATCGTCGTCGTCATCATTTTTCATCAAACACATCATCGTCGTCGTCGTTGTAGTCGTCGTGTTTATCATCATCGTTATCGTGAAAAACCACCACCATCGCCATGATCGTAATCACCGTACCCATCATTATCATCATTATCATCATTGTAGTTATTATCACCATCATACTTGTCACCACAATAATCACCAAACAAACCGATGACCAACAACGATCGTGGCCATCATCATCATCGTCGTCGTCGTCATAGTGACACGCTTTTATCATCAGGGTGATTATGACTTCATCATCAATCCCAAAATAGGGTGATTATGACTTCATCATCAATCCCAAAATAGGGTGATTATGACTTCATCATCAATCCCAAAATAGGGTGATTATGACTTCATCATCAATCCCAAAATAGGGTGATTATGACTTCATCATCAATCCCAAAATAGAGTGATTATGACTTCATCATCAATCCCAAATTAGGGTGATTATGACTTCATCATCAATCCCAAAATAGGGTGATTATGACTTCATCATCAATCCTAAAATAGGGTGATTATGACCTCGTAGTGACTGATTACACCCGGACGAAATCTCTCATCTGGCTGGCTGACATTCCGGTTTTTAAGAAGATCTTTGACGAGATTGAATCCAGGATGAAGTTATTCAAAGAGATGCTCTATGATAAACTCTACACCCTGCCTACAACTATCGAAGAGCAAAAGAAATATATAAGGTTTGTTTGTCTGTGTGTGTGTGTGTGTGTGTGTGTGTGTGTGTGTGTGTGTGTGTATGTGTGTGTGTGTGTGTGTGTGTGTGTGTGTGTGTGTCTGTATGAGTGTGAATTGTGTGTGTGTATGTGTGAATTGTGTGTGTGTTTGTATGGGTGTGTGTATATTACGACATTTCAATATTCATCATCATCGTCATCAATTCAGATTTGTTATTAATCATCACCACTGCAATATTCACCATTATCATCATCATTATCATCACTTCGGATACGTGATCATCATCATCTTCACTACCATCATCACCACCACCATCGCCACTACCACTATTGCCACAGATACATCAGCCACTTGGAAAGTGACAACAGTGCGGCCTGGCAGTGCATGGTCAACCAGCACAAGTGGATCATACAGCTGATGAAGAAGTCCAATCAGGATTACGTGGCGAAAGGTTGCTTGATTGGTTGGCTAGCTAGCTGGCTGGTTGGTTGGTTGGTTGGCTAGCTGGTTGGTTGGTTGTTTGATTGGTTGGTTGGCTGGCTAGCTTATTTTGTCTGTCTGTAGTTCGGTCGGTTGTTTGGCTAAATTCTTAATTATTATTTTAGCATCATCACATCATAGCAATCACTGTTTCCATATCTTGACATAACGATCATCATCATATCATCATAATCATATCATCATCATCATCACTATAGAGGCGGAAGAAGAACGAAAGAAGAGTTCAGCAGAAAATGCGTCATCATCATCAGCAGCAGCGTCATCTAGTAGTCATGGCGACAAGTTTGGAAACAATAATCATAGAAATGGTCTGCTTTTGTTTGTCTGCAGGATTGTCTTTATTTTTGTACGTAACATTCACACATACACACACGCACATACGTACAAACTTTTGCACAAACACACACGCACGCACACGCACGCACACACATACAAACATTCACACAAACGAACGTACAAAAATTCAGCCAAGCCAGGAGCCAGAGTGACATTCATTGAGGCGCTAACAAAAATTCTATGTGACAATTATCCACATCTCCAGAGACTCGGCCAGTCATATTTCAGTGGTAGATTGCTCAAGGAGGTTAATTATCATTATTATTAATTGTATTATATTATAATTTAATCATTATTAATCATAATTATTATTTGTTATTGTTATTCGTTTGTTTTTACTGCTGATAATATTTACGATGATTATGGCTATGATGATGTGAATGGTTGTTATGATGTGTGGCAAGATGGCTCAATGGTTAAAGACGCCTGTCTGTCTGGTCCTGCATAGCAGTTACCGGGTTCGAATTCAAAAGATATCCAAAGAGATATCTCCAAATATCATAGGCAAGAGTGTATGATGCTTTTATTAAGCATGTATATTTGTGTGTGTTTGTGTGTATGTGTGTGTGCATTTTCGAACCCGTTCATTTTGTCTGTAGGTCATGATTCCAGATAAGGTAGATTCTTCAAAGGAAAAACAATTTAAAGTTGGCACAATTTTCTCAAAAAATAATTAGTTTTATTCGTTTAATTTACAATTTTTTTATTAAATTTAAATATAATTATTCATAAATATTTAATATTTATCCGCGTTGACGCCAGTAGATGTGATATGTAAATTAGTTAATATTGATTATAAATACTTTTCTCCAATAGGCCATGCTACATGAAATAATTATCTTATACACAAACCTCATTGGCTGCGCCTTCCTGCCTCACACAATCGCTGGCCAATCAGATAAGAGGGAAGAGTTTGCTGGATGGCCAATAGCGCTGCTTGAAAATAATTACTCGCTCTTATCTTGGCTACCTGTTTGTGTTAAAAATTTGAGGTTTGTAAGAGTCTCATGAATATTAATCACATAATTTGAATATTTAATAGTATAATTATTACAAATTTTATTAATAATTTATCGTTTCAATTTAGGTACAGCATAAACCATTTGCAGCAATCTGATTTGTCAGCTGAGAGTATGTCATTGCTGCTCCAATCTGATTGGCTGCTGAGAATCAGCTGTGTTGATAGCCTACTTAACAAGGCTATCATTGGTCGATATTTTTAGATTAATTTATGGCATCTTTAATACATCTCTTAAATTATATCCATTCAATTACTTATTTTATTTATTTATTTATTAACGTATTAATTTATATTTATTATATTTATTTATAATTATTCAAAACTGATAATTTGTAAGATGTTAAAAACCTCGGTGAAAGAGAACTCTGGACTGTCGATAACAACGATAAACATGGCTCCACCACTATATTGGTGATGATGATGATGATGATGATGGTGATGACGATGATAATGATTAAGATAATGACGTCATTTAAGACTAGTAACGTCATTGAACTTCACATCCCTACAAACAAGCCAATCGTTTATTCAGATCCACCATTTTATTACGATTCGCACTAATCAACATTTGTCGTTATTTCTACCCAATCAATCGACCAATCAGAATTAAGTTAATCAATCGACCAATCGGAATTAAATTAATCAACCGACCAATCAAAATTAACTTAATCAATCGACCAATCAGAATTAAGTTAATTAATCGACCAATCAGAATTAAGTTAATCAATCGACCAATCAGAATTAAGTTGTTACGTTTTATTTTGCAGCCTGTTCTATTTGAGGGCGTAGTCATGGAGGCCATGTTCTCCTTGAAAGACGTCGTCGAAAATAAGCCAAACGAGAAACCGGTAACGATGATGATGATGATGATGACGATGATGATGATGATGATGATGACAGTGATGATGACGATGGCGTTGTTGTTGATGATGATGATGGTGAAATAGAAAGAAGTTAACATTAAATCATAATATAGACGATGGTGGTGGTGATAAAGATGATGATGATGATAATAACGATGATGACTGTTGGCAGACATTTTTACAATCTTATCCTTATGATCACTGCTATAACAACCGTCATCAGCATCATAATCATCACTATTGTTTCTACCATCATCATTGTCATCATCGTCATCATTATTATTATCCTAATTATTATTATTATTATCCTAATTTTTATTGTTGTTGTTGTTACTTAGCTATTCGGGGACGAAGTGACTAAACAGAGAATAGTTGAACTGTGTAGCAAGTTGTTGCAGATATTCTCGACGACCTTGTACAAGTTGGCTACGTTCAAAGATGACGACGTTGCAGCTTCTTCCACTGCTGCTGCTGCCACTCTTGCTGCTGATCCAACTAAGGCTGAAAATCTCAGCAAAAAGTAATCAATAATAATGTTATATAATAATAATGATGGTATGTTATTGCGGATATTCTCAATTAGCATTATAAACACTATATGGGGCAAACATTATTTAGAGAATATTATTATATATAATAATAATAATAATAATATATTGTTATAATAATTATATATTTTGATTTTTTTCTACTGCCCATCAATAGAAGTAACAAAAGCAAGAAGAGAGAAAATGCTATCCCAGTTCAAGTACTATTACTATTTGTTTAATATTATTTATTATTATAGTTATTGTTATTATTATGATGCTAATTAAATATATTTCACCGTTCTGCACTTAACTTCACAATGAGCAAAATGGTCTTAACCTTTAATATTATTTTATACAATTTTTAAAAATTTTATCATTGTGCATTATTTAATTAACATTAACTTATATATATATATATATATATATATATATATATATATATATATATATATATATATATATATATTTTTTATCATTGTGTGTTTTTTTATGGTGAAAAATAAAAGATGTTCCAATTATTATTATTATTATTATTATTATTATTATTATTATTATTAAATTATGTTCCCTCGCTAGAATGTCAAGGCTAACTAATTTCAAAAATAAAAAAAAGTTCATAAAACCTAATTGTAGCTCGCTCTGGAAAATACGGAAAATACAGCTGGAGTCCTATACATGTTCAATTATAATCATTGCTCAATTATCATTAATACGTTTGAGATATCTCCTGCTGGCTTTTATTAATAACAATTTCAATCTATCTCTATTTAAAATTCAATGGCCAGTCTCTTTCAACGGTGAATTGATAAACTCTGTTATAATATTATCGTATGGGATTTATTGCCATAGAAACAAACGATAACGCTAATTTAAATATATTGTACTGCTCTGTTGCAACCTGCCACTCTAATGATTAAAGTAGTCCACTTTCATCATCACTCTATTATCCTATTGAATTATTTTAACTCTTTAATTGTAATTTTTAATGCGTGTTTTATTGGAAAATAAAAGGAGGTTCCTATTATTATCGTTGTTGTTGTTTTTCGGCACAGCACAAGAGGCTACTGATCATAATGAACAACTGCTCTCTGACGTCCGAACTGGTAATCCCGCGTCTGGTTGACCTCATGAAAAGATACGGATATCCCATAGATCAGAATCTACTTCCGGTTTGTCGTCGTGGTTATTTGTTTTTTTGGTCTGACATTTTTTATCATGTGATGTTTTTTCTATTATTATTGTTGAAAATGGTAGAAACCACAACAGATTTATGTGACTGGTTATATTGACTATGATTAAACATTACACAGACGTTGTTAATGTTAATGTGGTAATAAAATTTATTACCGTGCCATAACCAAATTTTCATATTATTATCCTCCCAGACAATAGCAGACGTTTACAGACGTCTAGACGATCAGCTGTTCCATAACTACATCGAAGAAAGGACTAACCCAATTATCGGCTCTCTAGAGCGAAATATGTACGCTGGCAAGTTTAGTTGGAGTTCCTGTACACCCCCCTGTGGTTAGAATGGACTGTTCCATAATTTAAAAAAATTTTGCTGGGAGATTTTTAACGATTTTTGCTTTGCTATATATTCATTAAATAATTTTTTAAATTTATAATTTTATTCATATATTATTTGCGGTATAATTTTACCTACTTTTCATGCTAATTGTTAATTATTTATAAATAAATGAATGAATGAGTGAATGAATAAATGAATTAATTAATTGAATCATTATTTCTTCCTTATCCAGAAGTAAGAGCTTACATCAAAGAATGCATCTTCAGCTTCATACAAGTCCACGCCGAGGTTTCATTTGCATAAATTAATAAAATTATCATAATTATTCATCATTTTAGAAGAATAATACATTTCACTTGCTTCATAGTCATTATGAATAGCTAGAATGGCTACTTATTTCTAGTTAGGTTTGAAAATTAATAGCCTATATGACAATCCTACCAATTAGATTATCATTTAATTAATCATTTAAGTAAGTAAGTAATTCAGCAATAATTTATTCACGGGATGCTAACGTTAATTAACATATTCTAATTAGCTGTACTCTACGGGACCCATGTACATAAAACGAGTTCTAACGAGCATTGTGGAGGCAACGATGGAAGAACTGACCAGGCTCATGCAGTGCATTACTCATTTTAATAACAATGGGGCTGCCCAGGTTTTCTGAATAAATTAGCATATCATTAATAATTAATTAATCATTCTAAATAATTAGTGAGTTATATTAATGTGATGCTAATTAAATCGTATTGATGCGATTTTAAGCAAGTTAAAGATCACATATTTTGATTTAAATTTAAAAAATTACAAATAGAAATAGTATGAAATCGTGAAATTATTCAACAAAATATTACTAAAAAATTATGATAATAATATTAATATTAGTAGTAGTAATAATAGGTGGGAGATGGGTTAACGACCTGGTTTAGTTGGTCCCCACCAGCTACATGCAATTAGCGTGTGATGAGTGAATCTAGGCCAGAGGTGGGCAAGGTAAAATAGTTTCCCATGCGGCCCTCACAGTAAAAAGTTTGCCCATCCTTAGTCTACGCCGGTTCACATGAGCTGTGTGTGTTGTTTTCAATACTTCTGATAGTTATTTAATGAAGGAGAATTTTTAATATTTATTTGTTATTAGCATTATTTTGTGGTATAATTAATAAATTGTGTAGAATAATTAATAGATTATTATAAATAAATTATTATACATCGCAGGCAAGATTGGATCTGTGTGCGTTCGGAATGTCCATATACGCTTTTGAGAATATAAAAACAAAGTAAGTGAGAATTTTTGTTCTTTCATTTAATTAGAAATATGTATATATTATATATATTTCTCTCTCTGTCTTTCTTTTTCTCCCCCCCCCCTTCTCTCTCTCTCTCTCTTTCACACTGAAACTACGATAATAAAAAATAGAACAAATGATAATAATTAATAATTAACAAATAATAATTATGATGATACAACGATGACAGCAAATATGTCGTACTGACCGATGATGATGTGATATGAGGATGACAACCGATATATCATACTGACTGACTGATGAAGATATTTATGTTTACATTAACTAGGCAATTCATGAAGGAGGCTTTGAAGTGTATTCCAGAATTAAATGCCGAACAGAGAGGGTATGTTGGCTATATTTCAATTTCTTTTCTTTTTCTCTCTTTCGGGTTAACACTAATTGTAAATTATATCATTTTCGGCAAGACAGCTATCTCGATATCCTCTAATCTTATTTTGTGTCTTCTGGGTTCAGCCTGATGGTCTGCTGAACGAGTGTCTGGTCCGGATGATATAAAATGAAATAATAATACTAATTATAATAATAGAGTAATAATAATAATAATAATATTATAATAATGATAAATAGGAAACACCGAGGTGTCCGTTCTCTCTTTGTTTTTGGTGGTATTATTTTATGATTTATGCCAACATTTTTACCACAATTCTTATATAGTATGTGTCCAATCCGTCAACAAAATTTTGTGCTATAAATTGTGATTTTCGAATACATATTTGGAAACTTTTTTTTTCAATTTTCTGACCGCAGGCTTAACGAGAAGTTGATATTGACGTTCAGAAACCACATGAAGCTGCATTTGGAATGTTTCAAAAGCACTTGAAAGCCACGCCCACCATCTTTATAACTATTCTACTATTTAACCAATTATTTTATTATGTTAACTTATAATTTTATGTAGTTATTGTCGCGTTTCGTCATTTTAAACATTAATAATTGTAATATTTATTTATTCATTTTAAAAACTAAATTATGATAAAGTTTCCAAGCGTTCCTAGCTATCGACATTCTTTCATTTGATTTCATTTGACCTTCCAGAGATTTATTTTTTGTCACCTTTAGTGTTTTTTGTATACTTTAACCCATATGTATGTGTGTGTGTGTGTGTACGTTACAATTTTTAATGAACGTTTCGCACTAATTGTACATGAGATCTATTTAAGCAACTGAAATATTGTAAATTTAAGACATTTTTGAATAAATTTATATTTACAAAAAAACCATAACCCACAATTCAAAAATATGAAATTTTTTTTCACAAAATAGATTTCTTTGAAAAAAAAGTTAGTAAGTTTTCACATTCAACGATTTTAATCTCGACTTTTTAAAACAAAATCTGAACACGATGAAGCATGAACAAAGTAACACAAGAAAGATTATAAAGCATATTTTAGTAAACTTTAGTTTCAACTGGTTGCTTTCGTAATCCTCATAGTAGAGAAATTTATTTCTTAACCCGTCTTTCAACTCAAAGTTTGACGGTTTAGGGAAAAGCGACTCGTAGAAATCTCTCCTCAACACGCGTAGATTATCGAACTGTGGCTCGTCTCTTTCGTCGGAGTCATCGTTGAGGCAGATGAATTTTTTGGGGTTCTGTCTGATCTCATCGAGTTGTTTCAAAGTTACCGTCGCATTCGATCCGAACATCTTGAAAATGAAATAATCATCGGCGTCTGGAATGACTTTGTAACTGTATCGACTCTTATTTCCGAATGCAGTTACTATCAGATCTGTAAATTCAGTGCAGTTTTTAATTAAATTCAAAGTGACTTGAGGCACGTTGCTATTGAAATATTTTTCTGATTTTATTGGCAAATATTCACCAGATCCAACGCTAGATTTGTTCTGACAGTCGATGAAAACGTTTTCTAAATATTCCAAATTCTTCAGACTCAAAGGCAATTTAAATAATTTTGTCGCTAGGATTCTCAGCTCTCTGTCAGACAAAACACCTGACTTGTCGACATCCATTTCTTTAAAAACCTCCTCTAATTCAAACGGTTTTGTTTCACTCATCAAGAAATAAAAATAGGAAAACGACAACTGCATGTCATCCGAAGATCTTATATTATGAGATGACGTTTGGGTCCATTCTTCAGGAAATTTACTCTGCAGATCAGATATTATCGACTTATCAAGCAGATGAGCACCGTGGATAGGTAGCTTTCTAGTAAAAAAGCCATAAACTTTGTTGTACAATCTGTTGACGTATCTTACTGAATCTGTGTAAGCGTTAAGAAGTTTTCTACTTCTCCAACCCATTTCATATGGATTTATAGTTGATAATTTTTTGAACAAATTTTGTTTTTCCCATGGCAGAAAGCCATATTTATAATGGTTATATACGATAAGATTTGAAGTTTTTTTACTCTCAGCGTTTAAAAGCTTTCTTCCAATGGTGTAAAATTTATTAGGCAAATACTTCTCTTTATTATAGTTTGTTTTAAAAACAATAGAAGTGTTGAGTTTTAAATCGTCGTTTGATGAATATTTTTCTAGTGGAGTTAAATTTTTAACAAATTCTTCAACTGTTGATTGCAAATTATTTGAAGAGATATATTTTTCTATTATGTCGTATTGCCCAATCTGAAATCCCTTCTTAGTTATGTAATTAGATAAGTACTCATCATTCAATCTACCTAATTCTTTTTTAAGACTCTCACGAAGAAAATATTCAGTCAAATTTTGCATAATCATATTTATTTTTCTGTTCAATGTTTTAATAGGTTTTGGTTCAGTTTTATTGAAATTATAAAACAATTTCATCTTAGGGGTGCTTGCATTTATTTCAGTGAAATCTTTTGAATTTATTGATTTCACTTCTCTTAAGACATTTGGTTTTTGAAACGATGTGTCAACATGGAAAAAAAAATCGAAAGTTATTTCTTCGCCAGACGTTCGTGATCCAATCAGAGAGGCATTCAACAGAACTTTGCTGTAATTTTTCAACAGAACGATAGAGATGACGCGAAATGATTGCGCAACTGCAAAACTTCTCACAATTTCATGTTGATCATACATCCCTTCATTTATTGAAATGCCAGCATTCCAGAAACTTGAATAGTTGAAATAAAAAACATTGTAGCCAGTTAGATCATACCAATGTTGGTTTTCTAACAGATCAAATCGTTGAATCTTGTCGAAATCAGACACACCACAGTCTCCTCCATCGAACCCACAACTCAAAACATTGCACACGTTGTCGCAATACCTGTCAGCAATCCAGTTGTTAGCGCATCCCGGCTCACAAAATTTGTTCCTAGTATGATCCACCCATGGATAGTTAACTACATCATTCCCAAAATAAGTCCTCATTGATTTGTTATTCCTGGCTTCTATAAGCATGGGATCGCAGTCGCCACCATCCCACTCACATTCGGAATTATTGCATGATTTGTCGCAGTAGCCGTCTTTGATCCAGGTCCCGGGACAACCATCTCTGCAATCGGGCACGGGATAACTCAAGTACACCTTGTATTCTCCTGCTAGTGTTATAAAATCATCAGGCCACACTGGCTGACCAAAAAATATGTCATCATTCAAATAAATGAACTTGTCTGATAGTCCTGGTATTCTGTGCAGATGTGCTTCAATTGCTGGTGATGAGAACGTTGGCAGGTGAGATTGATTAGGGAAAATTTTTTTGTGAGTTATTAACGTCAATTTCGGATTTTCCAAATTCAACCAGGATGGAATTTGTCCATTGGTTACAATATACACATGTCTGACCCATGGTGCATTTTGCTCCAAAGATCTTAAAGAGTACAAGAGTTCATCATTGTCACGAAAACGATTTTGAGATATTTCTTCAGTAACTGTTGATAGGGGATTTATATTCCAGACCATAAAACCTTGGGATACTGTGTATTGCCTGCCAAAAATTTTGTGAGACTTTTCTGATAGAACTGACAATCTTACACTCGAGTTGGAAACAAAAAATGAAGCAATTCCTTTTGATGCATCGATAGTTAGATCAGTAAAATATTCTCTTCCATGTTTGTTAAACATGCTTTCAACCTCAGTCTGTGTGTTGGAGGCCCCCACCACTAAAATGAGACCTTCAAGTGCATGTGTCAAACTGCTTTTTGACTCTGATGTGTAGTAAGCTTGTTTGATGGTTCTGTTACCCTTTAAATAACTTTCCATCTTCAAAACATCTTGTATGTTTTGTGTTGAACCAAAAAATAAAGCTGTTACATTTCCTTCATCACTAATTTGCATATGGAATGATTTAGAAATTGGAATGTCGAAAAATCGATCACCGGATATTTTAATGGAAGGCGTGATGACAACAGCTTTAGCTGGAACGCAGTTGGCAAGATGACAGGGCGCTTTTACGTTGTAGATGTTCATCGTCATTACTTCATCATCACCATTCAACAAAGCTGAGTTTACTAATTTAGATTTCAGGGCACTCAACTGGAACTCCAGAATGGGGTCGGAACCATTGACCCAGGTATACACAACGTCGATTGGTAGTCCGGAACACAACCTCTTCTCATAGGAACACCCCAGGATGTTGTCTTTGTAAGCATTGAAGACACAGCCGTACTTCTCCGTGAACCACAAAACCAAAACTTCACTAAATAAAAAAAGAGTTGCTATTAATATTGTCAACAAAAATAAAATAAAAATCAGGCCACTTTTGTGAGATATCAAATCAAATGTGCGTTTTTTGAAGACTTTGCAAACCAAAGCCCAAGACATGATTGAAATAAAAATTTTTACAAACTTAAGTTAACTTTTTTAATAAAAACATGATTAAAAGAAAACTTCTGTTAATAATTTTGTTAGGTTTTCAGGTATATATAATGTATATAGTTGCAGAGTGTACATTTAATTTTAAGTTGCTTTTAAACTGAAATATGAATAAAATAATGATTAAATCCTTCAGGAAAAGAGTTTGTTCTGTATTCACTCCCCTTTTAATGCCATAATTCGTTCATTCAGTGGTTTATTCATTCCACTAATCAATTATTTTTTATGTTTAAAACTCACCTCATTTTTAATCTATCTTATCAACGATGAAATATATGATAAAAATGAATATTTTTCTATTCGTTCGAATTTTCATACCATGCATCTGTTACATGCATTCATTCATTCATGCACTTATCTTTGAATGGGATTTTTGAAAGTGTTATTCGTTCGTACACATATATTTTTCCATTCATTCATTCATTAACCCAATAAAATATTCATTCACTCAATCGCATTAATTCATATCAACCATTCACCACTCTATCAATCCAGCCATATATATAAATATATTCATTCATCCATCCATCTATTCACTCATCCATTCATTCATCCACTCTATCATCTATCCATTCATTCATCCATTCAAAACTCTTCCATTCATCCACTAAATCGAAATTCATTCACCAAAATCGCTAGCTTCTCGGCTTACCATATATGGTCATGGTATTTTTTATGCGTAATAGTATTCGTGTGTGTGTGTGTGTGTGTGTGTGTGTGTGTGTGTGTGTGTGTGTGTGTGTGTATTATATGTATAGTATTAATAGATAATCTAAAAAAAGAATTTCTTTTCTTGCAAGCAGGTTTCTCGTTATTTCTGTTATCATTATTATCGTCTTCGTGATCGTCGTCGTCGTCATCATCATCTACCTCATCATCCTCATCATCGTTTTCATCTTTATCATCATCATCATCACTCATCGTCGTCGTCATCGTCATCATCACTGTTAATATTTATTTAATTAATTGTTTGATTTGTAATGTTCATTTCAGTTTCTGTTACAAACATCAGAATTAATCAGTCATTCAACCCATCATTCATAATTAACACTATTCTTTTAAATCAATTAAGTATTATTTTATTATTGTTATTATTTTATAATTGTTATTATTTTGCGTTTTTTCTTCTTGTTGTTATATTTTTTTATTATTTATAATTATTTTTCTTATTATGTTTATTGTTTTATTTTTGTATTGTTATCTATTCTTGAACTGCATTTTTTTAACGCAAACAAGCACTTTCCAGATGATTTCTATTTATAGATTAGTCATTCTCCTCTTTCATTCATTTCTTCATCCATCCATCCATTCATCAATCCATCTATTAATTCATTCATCCATTCATTCATCCATCCATTCATTCACTCATTTATTAATCCATTAAATCGTTTATTCATTGATACATGCATGCATTTATTAACTAGTCTATCTAATTATTCATTTATCTCCATCCTTCTATTCATTCATTCATCCGTTCATCTCTACGTTCATTCCTTCATTCATTCATTTATCCATATATCCATTCATATCCATCTGTTCAATCATTCATTCTTCAATTTTCAATTGCTTATCCATCTATCGGTTATTCATCAGGAGTATTTTTATTGTTTCATTCACTAATTCATTTTTCAATTCATTCCTGTGTTCATTCATTCTTGCATTCATTCGTTCGTTCGTTCGTTCATGCATCCATCCATCCATCCATCTATCAATATGACTGCTACTTTATGTTACTCGTCAATCAACAAACACTCATTTACCCTGTGCAGAAACTAAAAATAAACCTAGATTATAATTAGCTAACGTAAATATATGTATGCATGAAAAAATATGCACACACGCACACACACATGCACACATGCGCAAACGCACACACACGCACACACAAATAGATGCATAGCGGTTACGTGTATGTGGATGGTGAGAGTAGTTAGACTACTAAAATGTAATAATGAGAAATGAATGAAGAAAGAGAGATAGAGAGAGAAAGAGAGAGAAAGACAGAGAGAGAGAGAGAAAAAGAACAACACACACACAAACATATACGCACAGGCAAACGCGCACATAAAACAAACACTCAGCCAGGCTTTCAAAGGATTCACTAATAACTCTTCACTTGAAATGAAACAATGGTGCTATTCTGATGACGACAACGATTACGTCAAACACGAACGATGGCTACATCAATGGCGATGATGATGACGTCACTGATAATGTCACGGATGACGATGACGATGATGTCGCTGATGATGAAGATGATGAATGATGATGAGGACGATCATATGCAGGAAATGCTATAACAAACAGACGTAGTGGTACAAAACAGCGTTGGCATCAGCAGCTGTGGTAGTAGAAAAAGTTGCAGCAGTTGTAGTAACGGCAACTGCGGCAGTAGTAGTAGTAGTAGCAGAAGTAGTACAATACTAAAAGCAGTAGCGGTACTAGTGCTATGAGCTCATAGATGCTAAAAAATACTTAACAACTATATTTGGCAAGTGCGTAAAATTGAAAAAGTTAATTATGTTATGTATGTGAACGTATGTATATATATATATATAATATTTATATATATGTTTGTGTGTGTGTGCGTGTGTGTGCGCGCGTGTGTGTGTGTGTGTGTGCGTGTTGTTTAGTTATATCAAGTAAGTGATGATAAGGCGATCAGAAAAACCCGGAAAAAAAATCTCTGCAATTTTATAAAGCTGCTATTTTTAACAATAGCAAACCTATGTGTCTGCTTGTGTGTTTGTGTATTTGTATGTATGGATAGACGGACGGCTGGCTGGCTGGCTGGCTGGCTGGCTGGCTGGCTGGCTGGCTGGCTGGCTGGCTGGATGGATGGATGGAGGGATGGATGGATGGATGGACAGATGAATGGATGGATGGATGGATGGATGGATGGATGGATGGATGGATGGA